AAAAGACTAAACATAATTCTCAACATTCAAGTACTGTAATGGTCCTCATTTCCTCAATTCTTCATTGAAAACCTGAAAAATAATAATAATAATAATAATAATAATAATAATAATAATAATAATAATAATAATAATAATAATAATAATAATAATAATAATATGAACCATTAAACAATAAACACTAAACAGTAAGAATAAACACTAAACAAAACACTAAACAGTAACAATAAGATGGCAAACTAAACTAAAGATTAAGATTAAAAACTAAACTAAACAGTAACTAAACAGTAAGATTACAAACTAATTAAACCGTAAAGATTAAAAACTAAACTAAACAGTAAAAATAAACACTAAATTAAACTGTAAATATTACAAAAATAAACACTTATTATAGACTAAATAGTAAACAGTAAAACTAAAACAGTAAAATTACAGATTAAAGATTTCAGTCACTAAACTAAACAGTAAGATTAAAAATTAAACTAAACAATAACCAGAGTAAAATTTACCTTCATAGTTCAAGAGAGAGGCGGCGAGAACTCCAAAATGAAACTAATGAGAAGATTAAACTAATTAAACTAAAGAAAAAACTAATTAAACTAATTAAATTAAAGAAGAAACTAATTAGACTAGGCTGCATCTGCGAAATAATAGTGACCACGCCTATATATTTATTAGTCACAAGTTCACACAATTTAGGGAACCGAGGCACAGATCTACTTAGAGTTGAGCACGTGAAAAAAAAAATGACACGACACGATCTATTTATTATGTGTTTATGATGATTCCTGCTTTTGTGATGATTTTATTTTAGGCAAGTTTCTTTTACTCCATAGATCTTGTGCATATAAGATCTCCAGTAAATTGATATCTTTCAAAGAAAATTTGTGAGTTGGATTTGGAGTATTCAATTTTTTATGTTTTCTTCCTTAAATTCTATATATCGATGTGCAGTTCTTTTTTCCTTCTTAGTTCTTTTTTTTATGCAGTCCTTCTTAGTTTGATGAACCATTGTTTACAAACAAAAGGATGACACTCAGACATTTTAATGGTTTTTATTTGTTCTTTGAAAAATACCATAGAGTTTGTCTTTTATTATGCAGACTAGTTTTTCACGCGCATTGCGCGATTGGGATAATGCCCAATGTTTATTTTTAAATAAAACTTTAAAGTATATCGATCAATACAAATTATATAAGAGATGTCCATGCATAGATAATTGAATGTTAAATTTTCTTATTTAAATGGGCAATTCTAAGTTTACGAATGCAAGATAATATAGTCAAAATTGATTATAATTGCCACTAAAATAATTGTTTTCAACTTTATAAAAATGCTAGTCTAAATATTTAGTCTAAAAATGATAACTTAGGGTATTAAATGACCAAAACTATAATCTAAAACTAAATTTAAAATTATCACCTAATTCTAAATTAAAGAAATGGATATGTATTACGGAGTATTATGTTTTTAGTTTCCTTTTGTGTGTGCCATTGATTGGTGAAGGTATCTCTATAGGACACGCTTGTTTATCAAAAATATACATGTACCCATTCATTCCATGGCTACAAAATTTAAATCTCAGCTTGAAAGTTGGAGAACCAAGAAAGCAGGTATCATAAATTTAGTACATAAATCTTAAATTAACAATAAATGAATAAATAAATCTAGTGTCTTAACTTGCACAATTATCATCAAATTGTAAATCCTAACGCATAAAAGATTGGCAACAACCATGAAGCCAAGCACCTTGTGCTCAGATGGCACCCGGGTTGGACTACCATATGAGAGGTTGTGAGTTCGAACCTCAGTGGAGGCATTATTGGCTCTTTGTGCTTCAATAGGTTGAGAAAGTAGCTAAAAAATCAAGAAAAGAGAACTCATTGCAAAATGTCTTGACAATACAAAAGATGAAGGATCAGATTTAGTGAGCATTCAAGACTTTACAGTACTTCACATTCATCCAAAAACAACAGTTCAACAACCTACCATTTCCCATCTTAAACACACACACAAAACAACAGTTCAACAACCTACCATTTCCCATCTTAAACACACACACAAAACAACAGTTCAACAACCTACCATTTCCCATCTTAAACACACACACAAAACAACAGTTCAGATGAGTACAAACCAAAAGAGACCCAACATTTGAATAATAATGTACTGAATATATACTTTAAAATTTTTTTTTTTAACTGTAAGCCCATGGAAAAAAGTTTTAATGCATAAAGATCAAATTTATGAGAAATAACTGAATTTACACATTCAAACAATATCAAACCAAAAGGATATGCTATCATTTGTAAATTAAAATCTCATAAACCCTAATTACAAAATTAAACTTAATATTATGCACTTAATGTGATCGAATGCATAAAACAATCTAGAAAGTATGAACCAACTAAAGAATATGAATTTATACCAAATATTCATACTTAACCAAACATGGGCAATCGGAACTAAAATCATAATTCCAAGAACTAAATGAATCATGGAATTAATGGCAAAAGTAAATTGCCTAGAAAATATGTTTTTCCAACATTACTAAATTGATACAAAATCACTCTCCATAACCCAGTTAATAATATTATTATTATTAATGGCAAAATTGCAAACAATCAAAATAGCAATAAATTGTCATAATAATATTATCACATTAGGTAGGAGACTAAATATGGAAAAACAGTGGTTAAAACCGCTAACATTTATAAACGTTTTCGGATAAAATTTTAAAAACTTAACAAAATTTGAAGTCCGAAAAATATTAATGTCCAGAAAATTATTTTCTGAACTGGAGTATTGTCACATAAATTTATTTAGAAACAGTTCAAGGTGCATAACTGAATACCATAACAATATTAATGTCATCATTAATTAACTAATTATTAATAGCAATAAGTAACATTATAATCACTATTAACATTAGTAATGACAAACTAAAGTATGGTAATGCACTTCTAATGTTTTCATTTTTCTAAAGATAAAATATGTGACTAGTCCAAATTAGGGGTTAACTGTAACTGTAGCACTAATTATCAATAATAATCATAAAAGATAATTAATGGCTAACCTTAATGATGCAAGCCGCATCTGCCCATTGCACTAACAACGATGACGATCCACAAGAGAAGAAAAGACTCTAGAATTCTCCCAATCTTCACTATCGGTGTCAATAAACTCGATGCAGCGTCCAATGGTACGTTAAAAAAATTATTGGTAGGACTTAATTACCAACATTAATAGTTATGTAAAATGAAGTGGTAACCATGCCAATGTACCAAATATAGCAGATTACCATTAAATGATAATTATTATGAAAAGTAATAAAATGAGATTAGCCCCCCTAAATGTTAGATATACAATAGTCTAACTATAATAAACCATAGTATACGAGAAACCTGACCTCGTATGAGAGCGGAAGCGTAGCCATGTAGATCTCCAGCCATAGTCGATGTTCCTGTTGTGTTGCCTCTTAACGGTAGACCGGCAGCCATGTTTTGTCTCAGACCTGACTCAGAACCCTAGATGGTGTATTGGCATCTACTAAGCAGTCTGAGTACCGTAACTGAATGTGCTATCTAATCCACCATTTCCCATCTTAAACACACACACAAAACAACAGTTCATATTACTATGTTAACAATGCTGCATTCCATGAATGGCCTTGGTACAGTGCATCATTGTGTACAAAGTGCAGCCATACACCAATATTAATCAGAATCTTACTCCAAGTTCATCATGACTGTTATCTTATTTCATGCAAATTTGTAGCCTTTATGAAAGAGCATAATTCAATAAACATCGAGTACAATTGTGATGAACATCAGAGACAAGGATGTACCTTGCTCCATCCACATGGTGCATGATATTTCAATTGCCCAAAGGTTAAACATTAAATTATGTGCATATCAATCAGTGAAATACCCTTTTTTTCCAAAACACAAAGGTCAAAAGGTGAATTCTGCTCAATATTATAATTCCATGAACATATCAAACCTGAATTCTGAGTTGATTTGGATTATCTTTATTCCGTTTACAGAATGAAAAGATCTTTCTGCCTAAAGGATGTGATCCATGAACAAATAGCATATCAAGTCCAAGGTTGTTTCTCTGCTTTTCTTCATCCTATATAACAAAGATACCATTCAAATTTATCAAAATTGCAATAAAAAATGTAAAAATATGACTATTTATCCACAGCAAGAACAACTATCGTCAATGTGTTCACAACTTTTGCTATCTCTGAGAGAATACGGAATTCCTTAAAATATGGTAACTTACAGCCTGCATATCAAAGGAAAATAAGCAGGAGCAATCAATGGATGCAATTAAGACATGAGCAAAACTGACAAGTGGAAATGTGAAATTGCAAGAAGGTTAGTTTCAGAGGGGGCATTTCAGAATTGAGGATGTGCATAAATGAAGAAAGTAGGTTATCAACAAATACTTGCCATGAATGCCTTTTTCCATTGATGTCAAGCTCAAAATCTTCCATGAAAGAATAATCATACTTCACAGAAGGAACTAATCAAGCAAAAAAATTCAATTTAGTAGAATTCATCATACCAGGAGGATAGAAGTCCAAAATGGGGGATAGTGGATCTGTCATCAACTTCTTGTACAAAAGAGGGAGTGCTTGTGCACTACGTGTGTGCAACAGTTTTGGTTACAATAAGAATATTAATATTCGCATATATAACCAATATAAGAATCTTTAAAAACAAAACAAAAAAAAAGTATAAATAAGTCCAAAAACTTTGCAGCTGGAAGGACACCTATCAATTGATCAAAAGGCTTGAAGGGCTTGCCTAGTGTGAAAGTTATGTCTAATTGATCAAATCCATGAAAATCAGATGCAAAGGGAGCATAGTGGTAAGGATAAAACCTGCAACATAACAATTTTAGGTTGAGTAAAGCAAAGATCATAACTATTACTAATATCATCTTCTGAAAGGGCATACATTGCCAGGAGCAGACTCCATGGCAGTAATAATGCATTACCCAACATATCCCTTCAGCATATTTCAAAACCTATGTAAAACTGAAAGCTATTATAGAAAGGAAAATTGAAGATGAAGTTCAATTTCATGATAAGCGAGATGATTAGTTTGCAACTGATTTGAGTATGAGATGCAGCAGGTACATGTAATATTCATTTATACCGTTAAACCCACCTCTAATTTAAACATGTTTTATGGATGCAGAAGTAAAAATGACATAGAGAGTAATATTCTACATTGTAAGGATCATTGCAATTAAATCAGATGTAGTATAGAAGTCACAATCCACACAACCCAAGAGGAAAAATATAAATTAGACCAAACAAGAAAGAAAAAACAAATGACCAAGAGAATCAACAAGAAGACAAAAAATAATCCTTACAACTGGATTGGAATATTCTAGTTCTTTTCATGTTTAAAGGCAGTACAGCAAGAATGAATATCCTTACTGTATCCCTACGAACCCTATCACAATCTTCAACATATTCAACCCCAAATTTTTTCTTCATAATATCTGTCTTTCCAGCCCTCTTCCCCTAATTTAACCTGAAATTATAAGATTTAGAATTATGAATTAGGAACTTGTCAATGCTAGTTAATGATTTTTACAAAGTAACTTGAAAATAAAATGAAAGATCACAGACCTTGTCATCTTCTAAAGCAGTCTTGAAATTTGTATGCCTTTTACCTTTAGGATCTAACTGATTAGACAACCATCATTCAATTCAAAATTCAATAACAAATTCTTTATTCACCAAGAACTCAAAATAAGGTTCAATGTTAACATCATACTCACATTATTTGAAATTTCTAAGAAAAGTTCTAATTTCAGTTATCATTGCTGTTCTTCAACAACTGGAAAAAATTATAAAGAGTTGTTATTTAGAAGAGTATTAACACAATGCATACCTGACATTTTTCTACACATACACACATACAGAGAAAAGGAAAATCACACAAAGAAACAGAGTATTGAACATAAATTGTAACTAAATCACCAGACATATCTAGTGACTACCAACCAGCAACGAACCCCCTGATGCTCGAGCATACCAGTCAATGACATCCGTGGTGATACTGACCAAGTTCTGATTCATCTATTAGTAGGTAACATAACATGTCCAAAGAACTTAAACTGAAAATCAAACAACTTACCAAATCAAATTTAGATGTTTGAAATTATCGTCTGCGTATTTCTTCTCGACAGTATCAAGCAACTTGTTATACAAAGGGAGGCCCAAGTAATCTCATTCGTCCCCGGTTGCTCGATTGGTGCCAAATCATGCAGACGGTAAACCACAGGGGTGCTAAAATACCTGCTATATCCTGCGGGTGTACTAAACGGCGATGACTAAAACCCAACAAAAGGAGTCTGGCTAAAATACCTGCGATATCCTTGCGATTTGGCGAGGTTTGGCAAAACCTTGATGGCTAAATTCCTTCTGAACATGACTGGCGAGGTTTGGCGAAATAAATCAGCAGCTTGAGGGAAATTTGGTGGAACCTTGCGCTTGCGATTTTCTAAACAAGAACACAGCAGCAAGAGGAACTGATCAAGCAAAACCGGTGAGCTAGCAGTTTGAGGGAAATTTGGCGAAACCTCTTGCGATTTTCTGAACGATGACCTGTGAGGTGGCTAAATTCCTTATGGCGAGGTTTGGCGTTAAGAGATATATTAACGGTGAACTAACGGTAATTCTTAAAATTTTAACGGATGGACTAACGGTGTGTGGGTATTTAAGTAAATCTCATTGTAAAATTTAAATCTGATTAATCTGATCAATTTTATGATTAATCTGAGCCATTCATTTGATTAAAAACTGTGGTGGACATTTTTTCTACCCATTTTAGGCCTAACACTCTTGGGCTCTTATTAGTATAGTAGATATGATGTGTGCTTCTCATATATTACATACACATGTGTATTGACTTTATAATTAAACTCTTTTTTTTTTTTTTGGTGTGTGTGTGGCTGCAGGATATTTTAATTGCTTACACTGCAACTCTTCTTTGGTGATCTAAAGCAGGTTGGATTGATGTGCAATGCAGAGATCTCGTAAGGATCTTCTTCATCTACGAAAGATTAGTGACGTCGCCCACAAACTATTAGGCACCGGTGCACAAAATTTAGAGACCCGAGGCACAGATGTACTGTGAGCTGAGCACGCAAGAAAAAACGCAGCCAACAGTATTTAACATATCCTAGCAATTTGCGATATGAGTTTACAAACACACGAACCACATAGGGGTGCACATAAAAAGAACAATAACTATGCACCAAAATTGTAGGACAAAAAATAGATTAATATTCCCAAAAATCAGGCATCTAAGTTATACACAAAGTTCACAGGTGAAAGTCATAATGGACCGTTAAAAGAATACACCAATTCTGATAATGGCCAATATACTACACCCAACAGCTACCAAAAAAAAAAACATATAATTACCTAAACTATGGTGCTACATCCTCCACCTGAAAGATAACGCACCGCATTTGCCACATTACTCATACGGTTGGCATTGATATCTACAGTGCAAATCTCCTTCATGTACTGAAAGTGTAAGCGCTCAAGAGCTGCTCTGTCGCCCTTAACTAAACCACACTCCCATCTTCCCACCCCTTGACCAACATAAGTTTTCATATGGCGCATAGCATAAACCCCACTGTCGACTTTGTTCTTCGAGTCCCGCCACTTCATCGGCATCCTCTTAGGGTATAAATCAAGACACAAACCCATCTTATATCCCTCACCAGCGGCTTTGAAAACCTCGAACAACAACAATTGCTACAAAAGAGAAAGTACCATCATCATCTACCAACCAAAAAGCGACACAAACTAAAAAAAATGGGGAAAAAGAAGAACCCATAACAGAACATACCAAATGAACAAAAGATTCACCATACTTCATCGAAGTGGGCTCCGTCGAAGTAGAACTATCAATAACACCAATGTGTTCATTCACAAAGTCCACACATGAGATATAGAAATGATTTCTTTGCATAATCGGGAAGAACGTCTGCATAATAGTAGAGGAGATATAATCAAAATATTACCCAAAATTAACAACAGAAGGAGTAAGAAACAGTATAGGCACACAAGAACCATGCAACAGGCACACAACCACTAACTATAGTGCACACAACCTAACTAGAGTTGCAAACTACTATTTCATACCATATCCCACACCCCCCCCCACCCCCCAAACTGCCAGAATAATCGAAAATGCCACGGCAAGAAAAAAAAAAAAACAGAATACATATGAAAGAGTAACAAAGCACTTCCACACCACACATTTTTAAACCAGCATACCTAAACAAGTGCACACACTACCAATCAGAAAAGCACACAAATATACAAAGTGGTGCACACACAGTAACAAAAACAAAACAGAAAACACAGCCTTAAACCAGTAAACCGTAAAGAAGCACTAACATCCAAAAAACACACAATGGACTAAACTATTATATAACTAGTATAAGATCAATTCTAACTAATAACACTTTGATTAATTCTTATTTAAAAAGACACAGCAAAATAACAAAGAAAATTGATAAAATCTGTCCGGTTAGGAAAACAAAAACTAATTGTATTGACCGAACATAATGCAGTAAATTACTACTATATAGTCAATAACTACTATAAGAATTTAATCCCTATAATATTTATATTCCGTCATAAGATAATTGAATGTTGCACACGCCAAACCTAATCTTACAATGATGAAAATCCTCACTAAACAAGTTTTCAAAATAATTTTATGTATTCTTTCCATCAACGAATGCTATTCAATTCAAGAGTTAGAACAAAAAAAAAAAAAAAAAAACCACAAATACCCCGTATTGGCATGATTCAATTGAGATAATGCCTTACAGGATATGCATGAGGCATTATTAGAAATAAAATGTTAAATTACAGTACACTTATGTTTATGCTTCAGAACTAAGTTGCAATTGCAAGAAAACACAGACACGGATGATCGAAAAGGGGGCAGAAATAGAAAAACAAGGGTTTAATAGACATACCTGGGCGACCCACCACCAGAGATAACGGAGCCTTCCGCTTCGACCAACGAGAGACACTGCCTGCCGCTGTCCGCTTCAACCATCGACCACCACCAGCGTTAGCCATTACTACGATCGTCGATTACAAGGAGAGGACTGAACGAACTGTGCTCGAAAAATAAAAATCAAATGGGGAAAAATCACTATGGAAAGAGAGACAGAACGTGTAGGAACATGAGAACAAATCGTGTGCATCCATTTAATATTATAATAATCTAATATATAATGTCTAGAAATGTTATTATCATTAAAGAATATAATAAAATATATGGTGGATGCATGTGTATGGTAACAATAATGAAAAAGATAACGGAAGTTATAATGGTAGGTGTATTTTTGTCCAAAAAATTATATAATGCAACTCTAAAAGTACAATGTACAAAATGATTAGCATTAAAAACATGGACATAAATTAGGAATATAACTTTGATTGAGACATAATATGTTTTTAGATTAGATATATATAAGGAAGGGTTCAGGTGCGGGTATAGTTTCCCATGCGGTTTTGCGGTTTACGCACCTTAAATTAAAATGATGCACCTTAAGTACACAAACCACACACCTTAAACACACAAACAAAGCACCTTAAGAACAGAAATCACGCACCTTAAGTACTCAAGTCACGCACCTTAAGCACACAACAAACCACGCACCTAAGGTTTTAAAGTAGCTCACCTTAAGTTTTCCACAGCTGACTTAAACATACAAATCACGCACCTTAAGAAGGAAAATCACGCTCCTTAAGAACAAAATCACGCACCTTAAGCCAATGTTGCAAAACACGCTAGGCGCCCCCTAGGTGCCAAGGGGGCGCCTAGGCGCCGATTTTTTATTTTTTTATTTATTTTTTTATTTTTTTTATTTTTTTTTAATTAAAAATAAAATTTAAAATTTAAAATTTTTAAAATTTAGTAATAAAATATAAGGTTTCCATAGTTATTTCTTAGAAACTATTTATGAAAGTGGTTGTAAAAGTGTTCAAAAGATTGTTTAAACCATCTAAATACATAAAAAACTAAAATTAAGATCTAAAGAAGCATTTTTTTGAGAAATTAGTGGACCAAACCGCCTTTGGCGTTTGCGGTGGATAGATCTCGAAAAAATACGCGATTTGAAAAAAAAAATTGACCAAAACGGACAACCGAGTCAAAAGTTATGCATTCCGAAACTTTTCCGACATTAAAAAAAAAAAAAAAAAAAAAAAAAAAAAAAAAAAAAAAATCCGCCGAACCGGCCGGTTAGGCGGTCTAGGCGGCCGCCTAGCCGGCCGCGGAGGCCGTTCCTCGCGGCGGCGCAATGGCGCCTAGCGCCTAGGCGCCGATTAATCGACGCCTAGGCGCGATTTTTGCAACATTGCCTTAAGCACAAAAACCACGCACCATAAGCACAAAAACCACACACCTTAAAAAGGAAAACCACGCACCTTAAGTTTCACAACTACTCACCTTAAGCACAAAAACCACGCACTTTAAGCACAAAAACTACGCACCTTAAATTTGACCTAGATGCAAAAATTACTAAATTATCATCGCGTTTTTTTTTTTTTTAATTTTGATAATCATGAACGTTGATTTAAAGTATGATCAATGACTCAAATTTAACCACACAACTGCATGGGAGACACTCAACCGCACGAGAACTAAATTCTATATATATGTATATATTTCGTTTTATATAATTACTTAATTAGTGTATTAGTAATTGAATTTTGGTTTACATTTAAACTGTAAACTGTAAACCAAAATTCAAGGGTGTTATATGTGAGAGTTTAAACTCTTGCCTATCCAAGAGAGGCAGTTTGACTTTATTAATCAATAGTTTTACAGTATAGTGACACTGCAATAACATAAAGCTAGAGGCTTATCCTTTTTTACTGAAAGAGGTAAATCTGAATTTTACCACATAGTATAATTGAATTGAATTACTACTTAATAGCTTTTACGCCGAAGACTCAATCTGTATCTAGTATGAGCTTTTACATTCTTCATCCTCTCTGCTAATAAATCTCCTTATTTAAACAAAAAAAAAATTCAATTACTAAATACTAATACACTAATTATATAAAAGGGTGTACACACACACACGCGCGCACACACACATATATATATATATATATATATATATATATATATACACTAATGTTAGTAATATAATCAAGTTTACAAGACATATTTAATGCTATAAATTTGCTATGGTAGCATTTATTTATTTTAATAATTTTTTTATATTACATTTGGTGGGATTGGCGAGCCTCCACAGCCCGTCAAAGCCCGCGAATTAAGTGGGTGCGAGCTATACGGCCCCAAAATATCAAAGCTCATCCCACTCTTTTCGCGGGGCGAGGCCGGTAAAGTCCGTTTTGATGGCTCTAAAAGTATATTATTCTAACTTATAGAATACATTATCCTACTCCAGGAATTTTATTATTCTAACACATATAAAGTACATTATTCTAACACATAAAATACATTATTCTAACTCATAAAATACATTATCTTACCCAGAATGTTCATTATTATAACACGCGTGCGGAGCAGAGTTTTTTTTTTTTTTTTTTAACATCAAAACGACGTCGTTTTTGGACCATGGTCTACACAATAATTTGCCTCCTAATATGAGGCATCCCGGGATATATTCGTATTCCTTGTAGGGCTTCTAACTTAAAATATGTATAAATAGACCTCATACTTAGGGAGAAGGCAAGTAATTTTGAGCAATATAATATATTTATTTTCTCTATATTTCTCATTACTTGTTATTTTAATGGTTATGTTGGCCAGTCGTTGATTGCCCTGCAAAAGTCATAAAACTAACAATAATATTTTTTTAGATAGTGAAAATAAAATTATCATTATATTTATAAAATGCCAATATTCATTTTTATATATGATAATTGATATTCTTACTACTTTATATTGTAATTTTTTTTAAATTGTTACTGAAATCAAATGGTTTAAAGTTGTACCTCTTCACTGATTTCGTTGGTTTAATATAATTTTATACATCTTCTTTTTCTTCATGCTGATTTTTTTTTAACCACTCATAATTAAAACTTATTTTTGTTCAATTAAATTCAGTGGGGGCAAAGTGGCAAACTAGTACATTAATGTATTGTTTAATGAGTGGGTGCAAGAAAAGAGGAGGGATAGATTGATTAGATTCTCCCAACCCTTTTATTTTTTCTTGAAATATCCCAACCCGTATTTATTTGTGGATATTTTTAATTAAAAAAAAAACATAAGAATTGGAATGAAAATATTCGCAATTCCCAAAAAAATACTCAAAACTGAAAAAATTATCAGTTTGGAATATATCTATCTGATATTATTCTAATTACCAAAGCATCTTTGAAACTCAAAAACTACCAATTTGCACTAAATATCTTTCTATTTTATTTGATTTTGACATTTAATCCAACTTATGAACTTGACTTCAATTAAAAAAGGAAAAATGGTCAAATAAGCTCTCAAACTATACCTAAAGAGTCAATTAATCCCCTAAACATTTTAAAGTTGCAATTGAAGCAATGAACATCTCATTTTAGTGCAACCAAGCCCAAAAATCAATTAGTGACCTGCTATTACAGGTCACTAGGTTCCGTCAACATCTCGGCAACTTTCGACCATATTTCTGTCAACAAATCGACCGACGATCGAGAATGAGTCGCAGGTCGATTTTGAATTAACGGAGAAGGCAACCCTCTCCGGTGGTTGCCTTCTCTCCGGCTGGGTTGCCTCTCACTGGAACAACAGTGGTTGCCACTGCCGGAGAAGGCAACCCACAGGTTGCCTTCTCCGGCAGTGGCAACTGTTGTTGTTGCCTTCTGCTAGAGAACCAGTGAGAAAGCAACCCAGTGGTTGCCTTCTCACCGGAGAAGGCAACAACTGGGTTCCCTTCTCCGGCAATGGCAAGCACTGTTGTTCCAGTGAGAGGCAACCCAGCCGGAGAGGGTTGCCTTCTCCGTTAATTGAAAATCCACCGGCAACTCGTTCTTGGTCGTCGGTCGATTTGTTGACAGAAATATCGCCGAAGGTTGCCGAGATGTTGACTGGAACATAGTGACTTGTAATAGCAGGTCACTAATTGATTTTTGGGCTTGATTGCACTAAAATGAGATATTCATTGGTTCAATTTCAACTTTGAAATATTTAGGGGCTTAATTGACTCTTTAGGTAAAGTTTGAAGGTTTATTTGACCATTTTACCATTTAAAAAAGTTCTCTTACATTTTTTTAGGGTTTCTTGTTTGTAGTAGCAACATTTTTACTTTTATTTCTTAACTATTAATTTGACAAAGCACAAGTAATAACTTAATAAAACACATAACATTATACAATTCTTCTTATAAAATAAATACCCCAAAATAATTTTGTATTTCTCTATTACCATTTCAATAAAAGTTAAAAGTCAAAAGAATTTATCAGGCCTTATGGCCAAAAGTGAAGAGACATATATATTTCTTCAAACTATATTCTTATTTTACTATAAAACAAGTTTTTTTTTTTTTTTGGATCAGACACTTAGACTTCAAGCTATATTTTTTATTTTTTATTTTGACATGTTTCAACAATAATTCTAATAACAATTATGGAAGAGCGAGTGTAATTAATTAATAATTAAACATCTGAAAAACACATATTAATTAAAATATTGGTAGATAATAAAATTTAAAAAAAAAAAAAAAAAACAAACAAACAAACAAACAAAAACAAAACAAAATGACAGAGGAAGGATAAACAAATAGCTAATGCCAATCCTGTCCAACCAAATTGAAAGCCAAATCAAACCCAGAGGCAGGCTCAAAAGTTTTCACGAGGACACCACTGTCATTACAAAATGTCGCAAGCCGCAAGGGTAAAACCGGAAGCTTAAATTATAGCAAAAACTATTTCCTTGTTGGATATATTATTTAATTTTTCAGTATGCAAAGGCATTTGGTCTGTTTCCGGTGGCTCCTCGGCGAGCCTTGGGAGGAGGAGGAGCCGCCGGTGACGGCGTTGGACGTTGGGGTTTCGTGGCTGCCAATGAACAGTGATCTCTCTTTGATGACGGCGGTTTCATAGCCGCCGCCTGCTCTTCTTCGTCCATCACTATTTGCCTACACCTGCACTCCACGCTGCAAAATCCCCTATCTCCCCTATCAATTCATCATTATAAAATTAAAGTAACACCTTCAGTTAACCAAAAAATATATTGTGTATTTATAAGTGATTGAATGACCATTTTTTTTTCAGAGAATCTCTTTGCATCATTTTTTGTTTTTTATCAACAAAATCATTTAAATTCTATAAAAGACAAAAAGTATTTTTTTTTTTTTTTGAAAGGGAAGACAAAGGTATTTAAGTCTTCTATTATCAACATTTTTCAAAAAAAAATAAAAATAAAAATATAGCAGGTCAATTAATTTTGTATAAAAAATCAAACTGATTTTGTATTTAACGACATTTCAACTATTTTGTCGAGGAGGGACAAAAAATGATTATATCACAATAATACTAAGACCAAATTAGAATTTTATAACAAATAAGAACTAAAAGTGAACTGCTACCTATAAATCTAGGACCAAATTTTAATTAACTCCTTACATCAATATTATTATGTATTTTTAAAATACCAAAAAAAAAAAAAAAAATATCACCCAAATTAATCCTCATTTATCAGTTATACACGCGCATACATATAATCATACAAAGAAATTGGCATGAACAACAATATAACTATCACGTTTATGTGTTCAACTTATCATTTGAGATAACATCGAAACCATTTTATTCTAACCAATTTGTATTAACTTTGTTTATGTTGTCGGGTTGATATCTCACCTTTTCCTTTGAAGTGGCATCTGATCTGAGACATTTAATTTTAAAACCCTCTTGACAAATTAAAAAGATTCACATCAATATAAGCTAAGTGTTAAATCAACCATTTTTTATTCTTATTTTCTTTAATATGCTTTAATTATTTTTAATTTTTTTTTTTGTGTTTAACAATATTTTTAACATAATTTCTTAGTATATAAATTTTATACCATAATAATAAACTTAATATTATAATAAATTAAATTAAAAATAACTTCAGTCAAATCTCATTAACAAAATCAAACTAAGAGAGTGTATATATAGAGAGAGGATGAGTAGAAGAGTGCTCACTTGTACATGTAGATGTCTTTGCCAGGCAAGAGTTTCCGCTTACAGAGATAGCAGCAATCAAGAAACCCGGTGGCCGGAGAGCCTCTCCGGGAAAAAGGACTTTTGCCGGAAGGAGAAACAGGGCTGGGAGAGCAAGAGGTAGGTGAAGGAGGTTTGATGATCATACTAGCTTTGCTAACTACTTGTGAACTGCTACTTATTGCGGTGGCGTTATCCTTGTAGCCTTCCAGTACTACACTGAGCCCCACCATCTCATTGCTTTTACTCAACCTCCTCGCGGCGGTGGAAGGCGGCGGCGGCGGCGGCTAAGGATGGCGAAGACTTTAGTTTTGGAAGGTGAAAGAGGTTAGGACAAGTATATAGAAGTAGAGAGTGGAGAAGTACAGCTTTTCAGGGAAGCGGGCCAATTGCTTTATTATGATAAACTCTTACTTAAGTAGCTATAAAATCAATAAATAGATAATTGAAACTTAATGAATAAACATTAATATATATATATATATATATATATATATATATATATATATATATATATATATATATTATCTCGTATTAAATTTTTTTACCTAATGCAGTACTTATAATATTCATTTGGAAAACTAACCAAGTGCATGAAGTATAATTCTTATATTTGATGGTTAATGTCTTCTTACTACGATTTACCTATTTTCTGAAATGGGGTTTACCTACTTTAAAAAGTGAGTAAAAATTTACCGCGAAAATGGATCATTTATTTAATTATATTATTTCCAAACAATAAAATTACTAATCTCTTTGTAGTGCACCATATTTTTTTTGGATACTACAATGTAATAGAACTAGTAGCTTTCAAAAAAATAAGTTGTTAAAAATTGATTAATTTTATAATAAAATAATGTTTTAAAAATTAAATAATTTTTTTGGTAGGGGGCAGGTTTTACCCAGGCTAGCTATAAGATGTGTATTAAAGACAGTGGCGAAGCGAAGGATCCTACCAGTTGGTTGACACGTACTCCTTTAAGCTTATCTTTCATTTTCTGAATTTTGCACTTTTTTTTTTCTCTGTAAGTTTTTGTTGGTTTCCTTGTTTTGTCTTCTTCCTTCCTCTCCAGTCTCCACTTTAATGTGTGTGTGGTTCATATCCTGATATCACGTCCCTAAAGTCTAACATTACCTGAGAATTTGGAAGGCACTTGATACTATGAAGAATTGTGCTACAGACTTGTCAATTTCACATTTTCACTGCATAATTTTTCACCGCCTAAGAGCATTTATAGTAGTTACGTTGATCTTCAGTATGGTATTTGAAGGGTTTTATAAATGTGATTAGGAAAGAAAAACATATGTGAGTGAAAAAGAAAAAGTAAAAATGAAATAAATTCGACTTTCTGAAAAAGAAAAAAAAAAACAACTAAAAAGATTCAAAAGTCGGAATGGCCGCCAGCTTGCGTGCATTAGCCATCTATTTTTTTAAAAAATTTCTTACTTTAATTGGGTCTTTGCGGGAGAATTCTATTTTAAAATAACCCCACCCTATATTGATTATTGACCCCACCCAAGTTAAATGACCTGAAATAAACCCCATTTCACTCCTGATGTAGATGCTCTATCGTCAATATATAAAATATATACGAAGTAAAACATTTTGGGAGTGTTTGGTAAATGGCTGTTAGCTTATTAGGTTAGTAGGTTTAATTAGTTGATAGTATTAGCTGATTATAGAAAAGTGTTTGGTAAATTAGCTGTTAACTGATTACTACAAAATGACTTTCTCAAAAGGCTAATAAAAAAAGTTATTTTGAGTAGTTTTTTAAATATTAACATTTTAGAGAAATAAGTTGTTACAAAAAGCTAATTCATCAAACACTCATATTAATTGTTTAACCAAGTCAAATAACTAATAGTGCTCAATCATGACCTTTATGTTAAAAGGGTTTTTCTTTGTGTTTTAGAAATAAGTTGTGCTTGTTTCAAAAATAAATAAATAAGTTGTGGCACCAAGTTGCTCCTTTATATGGGAAGTTGTGAGTTCGAATCTCAGCGGACTATTGACTATTTTGTACTTTAGTAAGTTGAGAAAGTAATTATGAATAGATACTGCATTGTAACAAAAACCCCGTCAATCTTATAGTATAGTTGCTTATTCCCTAATGTGGTTAAGAAAGATATGTGTGTGTGTGTGTGTGTGTGTGTGATCGCGTTCAGGTGCAAACTGCCTGTCGAGGAGAGAATTGAGAACCATCCAGCGCGCGTCATGTGTCAAGATCAACGAATCAGATGTAATTTTAAAAAAACGACACAGTGGTATTTTTCGTAAATAACTTGAACTTTGGTGCACGTAAATGTGTTATATGTGCAAGTAGTTGGTGCACCTTTGCAAGTAAAAAGTGCATGTAAAATAACTTACAAGTGCACATACTTTTACCTAGAAGTGAATGTAATTTTACCTTGTTAACATTCATTGATTTGAGTTCGTTCTATTTAGCATCGCTTTTGTTCTTGCGGGGGAGTTCAGCGGGTAGTTAGTACCCGTGAAAACCACCAGCGAGATGGCTTGAGGGAGGGGTTGGCGGGATAGGTGCACCTTTGCAAGTAAAATGTGCAGGTAAAATCACTTACAAGTGCACTACATACATTCACCTACAAGTGTATTTAATTTGACTTGTTAACATTCATGCGTCTAGGTGCAACTACTTATACCTATAGGTGCACCTAGTTATAATGTTAGGTGCACTTAGTTTTGATGCTCAGTATAAATTTTTATTTGCACCTGTAATACAGTTTACCTGTACTTGTAATACATTTTACATGCACTGAAGTGCATTATATGAAAATATTAATTGCACTTGTAATACATATTACCTCAACTTTGATGTTCAATTACTTATGAAAATGCCACCGCATTTTTTTTATAAAATCAGTGTTTTCCATCCCTTAGATCTGAATACGTAACACGCTCTAAAAGGGTTCTCAATCTTCTCATGAGCAGTCGTTCGCATGAGAGTTCACCCTTATATATATATATATATATATATATATATATATATATATATATATATATATATATACTCCGTAATTTTTTGTTTTAAAATATTTTTCTGTGTTTTAAAAATATAGGGTGCTAACGTGGCATATGTCAACTCAGGAGGGATGTCTAATCAGTGAAATGATACGGGAAAGTAAGAACATAACATCTGTAGATATTTGGAGGATAATGTCAGATTCATTCTCTTGAGTGAGAATAATGTTAAGTGTAGGGAAGAAACAAGTTAGGAAAAATTGCCCTGCAAAGTTGAGGAGAATGGCAGAAAAGAAGAAAAAAAAAATAAGGAACATGAGACGCGCACAGCAGCAGCCCACACGGGCGCGTCTGAACTTTTATTATTTTTTTTTTTGTTTTTTTTTTCTCCAATTCCCACATTATCTTTCTTAATCACTCTTACATTATCTCCCAAACCTCCCCAACTGATGCAGATGCTCTAAGCATTATTTGGTTAAAGCACCAATGAGATCTTGTAGTATAGTGTTTTGTTTAATTTAGTTCTTATATTTTTATTTTGTTCAATTTAGTTCATGTATTTTTAAAAGTAGTGCAATTAAGAGTAATAGTTAAAGGTAACTTAGCTTATGTGGCGCTAAGATCATCACTATCACATCATGATATTTATATTCAACTTATATATTATTTTATAAATATTTAAAATGAATTATTTTAACTACCAATATATTACATTAATATGTCAAAAATAATAATTACAAGTATGATGACATCAAATGTTCAAATCTCATTGGGAGCATGGTTGTAATTATTTATTTTAGATATATTAATGTAATATATTGGTGGTAAAAATAATTAATTTTAAATACTTATAATGTACTATATGAATTGGAATATACATATAATGATGTGATAATAATGGGTCAAAGTACCTACGAGGTCGTTGTACTATAACGTTTTGTTCAATTTAGTCTTATACATTTATTTTGTTCAATTTAGTTCATGTACTTTAAAAAGTGGTGCAATTAAGGAATAATGGTGTTAATATTATTATTCAATTAGGTTACGTGGCGCTGACGATATTTTTATTACTACTCATATATTACTTTATAAATATTTAAAATTAATTATTTTTACCACCTATTTATTAAATTTGTATGTCCGAAATAAGTAATTATAACCATGTTCCTAATGAGATTTGGGCAATTGTCCTTAGTTTCACCACTTTTTAAAGTAGAGGGACTAAATTGAATTGAATAAATATACAAGGACTAAATTGAACAAAACATTATAGTATAGGGACTTCGTAGGTAATTTGACCGATAGTGATGATGTCAGCATAATGTAAGCTAAGTTAACCGTAATATAAAAGAATAATGGTTAAATAGGTCCTTCAACTATAGACCAAAGGTCAAGTAGCCCCTTAAACTAAGAAAAATTCTAATTAGACACTTCATCTCTTCACTTTTATGCAATTAAGCTATAATTTTTAAAATTGTCCAATTAACTCATTTTGCAGGTAAACGAAAGGTAAAAGCAAGTAAAATTGAATTTTAAAAAATAACTTAAAAATAAATTTTAAAAAAAGGAAATTGTTGGCTTCTCCTCAATGGAGAAGACGACAATCCGACTTCTCCGTTCAACTGAACAAAAGAAGTTAATGTTGACTTCTCCGTTTGGTTGGATGGGAAAGCCGTCGCTGTATGTTTGTTTGTTTTTTTTTTTTTTTTCAATTTAATTACTTTATTTGAATTAAAAAAATATAATTTTTATTTTAATAAATTTTTTAAATAAAAAAAAGCTACCAATTATTTAGGAGTAACAGTTAATTAACTTAGTTGCATAAAAATTAGAAGTTAAAGTGTCTAATTGAAACTTTTGTTAGTTTAAGGAGCTAATTACACTTTGACCTATTGTTTAAGGGTCTATTTCACTCTTATCCGTAATACTAGTCTTTTATATGCGCGACGCGCAAAAATATATGCCCAATATTTATATTTTTTAAAATAACTAACAAATCCTTACTATTAAAATTTATATGAAATCAAATTTATTTATTATAATAATCTAATATATAATGTCTACAAATATTATTATCATTAAAGAATTTTAAGAAAATATATGATGGATGCATGTGCATGGTAACAATAATGGAAAAGATAACGGAAATTATAACGGTAGGGGTATTTTTGTCCAAAAATTTATATAGTACAACTCAAAAAGCATAATGTAAAAAATGATTAGCATTGAAAATATAGACATAAATGAGGGATATAACTTTGATTGAAACTTATTATACTTTTAGATAAATGTGGTAGTGATTAATGATAGGCAAAAACTTGTGTGAGACCATCTCACGGGTCTCAATCCGTGAGACGGGTTGGATCTTTGATTAATGATGTCAAAGATTCGACCGTCTCACGGATTGAGACTGGTGAGACGGGTCACGGATTGAAATTCGTGA